CTGCTGAAGTTCCAAAGGGACACAAGTTTTCCATAAGCCGTATGTCATTTGCACTAGCTCCATGCAGGCATCTTTGCACTTAAAGTGGAAGTAGATGGCTGTGTGTTGACAAGTGGATTCAGCCTTATTTTCCTACCTCTAGCTAAGCTGAATCACTTTCTAAACTCCACTGACATTATCACATTTACTTGTAATGGGAGACATTTAATGCCTGAATTCTATTGTTACACATGGAAGCAGGACCCTTCCATTTTAGTAAAGGTTCTGTAGGTTCTTGGGAGGCAGTGGCACAGAAATTGGGCTGTTTTACTTCACACTTAGCTTGAAAGGCTGATACACGCAGCAGGGGGTACAGCCCAGCAGAGGGTACTGCAGCCCTTTCCTCCCTGACTTTCATCCACTTCAGGATTCAAGGCCTCCTGAATCTACTTTCCCACCTGAGAGGGTTACAAGCCTCTCGCTGTCTGACATAAGCAGCAAGTTTGCAGTGACACTTAGGAGAGGGTACACAGTCTGGCCCCAGGGCCACCTCTTTCTTACTGGAGCTTAGTAGTCCTGCAGGTCAAGGTGCTCAACCTCCATGGAGGGACAGAGAGGGCACAGACACAATGGGCTTGAGGCAGGCAGGCCACACAGAGTGGCACAGGCCGTTACAGGGGTAACACCTACAGCCAGCAATTTCAATATTTTGAGGAAGGTGTACAGGTAGAATCCTAGTTCTACACTGTGGGATCAATACATTGTAACCACTAAATGGTACTACAGCACTTCAGTCTGAAAACAAACAATAGTGAATACTTTCCTTTCTCTTCTGGGCAGGTATGGTTCCACGGCTGTTTAAAGTTGCTCCTGCTTGTGCCATAATGATCAGCACATATGAATATGGAAAGTCTTTCTTTTCTCATTTAAATGAAAAAAGGAACTGACATCCTTAATTCTCCTTCATCCAGTTGTGGGAAGTCAAAATACATGGTGACATAAATTGTGCCAAATTTGAATATGTCAAGGTATTTTCTAGAATCGCCAGTGAATTCCTGCCATTACATTTGGTAACTCAATGCAACTTTATTTTTATCTATTTTACAAAGGACAAATCCAGTTTTTCTATTTTCTTAAGACTAAGAAAAATGCACATTACCCTTAAACTATCATTGAAGATTTTATGACTGCTCTTGCAGCTAGAGAGAATAAAGGAAAGAAAGGAGAAGAAAAAAAAAAAAAAGGTGCTCTGTTTTTCATAATGATGAAAAGGGAAAAAAAATTTAGGCTGGACAGAGCCATGAAGAATAACCCCTGCCACTGGGTTAGTTCTCAGTCTGACTAAAGATTTTTGTTGGGTATTTAAAATGTTTAGAAAATGCTTTGGGCTTCCAATTGTATATGATTATTGCTCCATAAGGAGGTTGATAGATAATGAATTCAATAAACATTTATTCTTGCTTAATACATGTTTAAATCTGTGCTTGTGTCTTATTTGCAGCCCTGTATTTTGTCTAAGTGCATATTACAAAGTAGTCTTTGACTTCTCAAGTTTGTTTAGAATGAAAAATGCTTTAGGTCAAACTGGGAAAAGTACATTGTGCTCAGTAGAACCCGAGAGAGCATGGGCAACACGTTGCTAGGTCTGAGGCACCTTTAAGGTAATGCTTCAAAAAATTAAAGCACACCTGGGCACCGAAGAAAATGGCCTGTACAGGTAGCGTGGAGAACATGCCCTTGCATGTTTGTGAGAGGGGCAAACTGTCACTGTCACAGAGCTCCAAGGCAGGGCCAGACTCCCTGCCAGGGAGCCTTCCCCATACACTCTCTGTATGGGATCACCTGATTTGGAAGGCCAGGTTTGCTGCGTAAGCACAGGTGGTTCCTTGCCAGTTTGAATCAGCCACATATCAGCCTGAAGGGAAGAGCACTTTTAAGTTCACTGCTACAGATGCAGCCATCGTCTGCCACAGTGTGCTGCTGCTCACACATGAGATGAGGAGTGGCAGCATCTTCTCTGCCCATAGGCACTTTTAACTACCCTCACTACATCCCTTCTTTCATGCACTCTCAATGAAGTGGTCAAATTTCATTTTTTGCATATTGTAACAAGGGGGGTGTGTTGGTACAAAAGGAACTCAGAATTACGTCTCAGCATGGTGTCATTAAGACACAAAGTTTGGGTGTGCTTTACCCAAGAAATGGACTAAAGTTCTATTCTGCTATGAAGAAAGTATCCCAGCATGTGTTTGGCCTTGGTTAAAATTCATGACCCAATGAAAAATGCTCTAATTGTAAAGTCATTAGCTACAAACGGACCAGCTTACAGTGCTGGCAAGAGGGGCTACCCATAGGAGGTACAACAGTGTTCTCCCTCTCACTGTGATTTTCAAAGTAATTTTACACTGCAACCTCAGAATAAGGCCCAAGACAAAGAAAGTAGTAACAGCAGATTTTGGACCACATGGAATGAAGTTCAGCAACAAAAACAAAGTCTCCCTGTTTTGCAATCAAATAATTTGCTGTAAGCTCAGTAATACTGTCATTTGCCAAATGGTCTTATTTTATCTCGTATGATTAAACAAAGACAAAAACTAGTAATTAGTGATGATACAAAATGTTTAATTTACATGCAACATTTATGGAACATCAAGGCAACAAAACACACAGTTTTGGCATTTTTTCTTCTTTTTTTTTTTTTTTTAAATGATTAATGTTTAGAACTGAGGAAGACACATGTAACTGATTTCCCATGCAGAAAACGACACCCAGAAACTCACAGTGGTGTCAGACTATGTAAGAGACGTCAGTTAAATGACAAGTGAATTTCACACCAGTAGCTCCAAGAAAAGAGCCATCAGCAAACATGACTGCAGATCATTGCTACAGCCTCCTCCAAAACACTGATGTAGCAGAAGTGGGAGAAGCAAACAAGACCAATTAAATTACTGTATCTTGATGTAGAATGGTAACTTGTGGCATCCAGAGTCCTTCACTGTATTTGTAGTAAAAATGCATCTCTAGTTTACAAACTACTATTTAATAATGTTACTCAACTGCCATGAGAGAACAGGTGCTTAATGCAGTAACAAAAAAACAGCAAACAAACCAGAACAAAAAACCCAAAACAGTTACATGAGGTAATGGACATTCTGACATTGTATGAAAGGATGTAACGGTCACAGTTTATTACAGAGAAATCAAATGGTTGGGTACATGAGGGCTTGAAAGACAAGGTCTGGTGGATTTTGCTAAACTGCTTTAAAAATCTGCATTAAAATGGCATCAGTAGTTGTTTACTCTGCCATGGTTAATGCAGTAACCTCCAGCACTGTGTACTAGGTGAGGAGATGGACTAGGTGAGGAGATGTACCTTGAACCTCCTCCAGCTAAATCCAACAGTGCCTTGAGTTCCAGAGATGTGTAGCCTCATACTTAAAAAGGCTAAACATTTCTTGTAGTTTTTAGTACAGGTCAGAATGAATCCTATTTCTTTCAAGCACACCCAATGATGGCCAGATCACAGTAGTAGTGCCAAGGTACCATTACAAGAGGCAAGTCAACTGTACTGTACAGAGTGTAATGACATACTGTAAACATCTAAGAGTAAGCAATAATTAAAAATCTGTCTTGTATTGCAGCTACTCATGTAAACAGTTTATGAAACTTCTTTGGCACAAAAAAGCATTTTCCCTAGCACTTATAAATACAACAGACTTACATGCAATGAAGTTTTGTTTAAAAAGTTACTAATCATGCTGACAAGCAATACTTTGGATTAGCAAAATTCATAGATAAAGGATTCATTGTATCTTACAAAGAATTAAGAACATAGTTTGAAATTCAAAAATTTAGTTGCAAACTTTGAAACTATAGGGTAATCTGGAAAGTTAGTTTCATTTAAAAAAATGTCTCCTGGTTTGTTTATTTTCCCCTATCAGTAATTTAAATCAATGGCAAGTAATTTGAGAAAACTGACTTAAGTTCTGCTGTATTACCTAATCAAGAAAAACACCTATTGCACTACTACAGGAATGAGAAAAATCTTTAACATCAGAATACTATTATTACATTGTTTCCCTTTTTTCACTCTCCTCAGATCTTGCCAATGAACACAATCCAGGCTTCCCAAAGTGCTAGCCCCACCATCCTTAGTCCCCATCTTTCCAGCAGGGCCAATAAACAAAGAAATTTCTTGTATAATGTTTGATTATGTGTAATTCAGGTCACTCAAAAGCATTCAGTGAGTTTCCTCAACATTTGCAAATTGCTAAGTATGCTTGATTTAGACAATCAACTTCCATTTGTTATTCACATGCAAGTTCAAGAACTGGTAAGAGTGTTTCAGTGTGATTCTTCAGTGAGATCCAGACATCTCCTAAGTGCCATGATACTAACAGGAATGCAAAATATAACAGTGAGTAACTCGAGAAGAGCTGTTAGAGCTTAAATATGCTATTTGAGGTCCTATGCAACATACACTGATGAAAAGCTGGATTTATTTGCCTACAAAGACTGGCATTAAGGATTCTGTTCTGCAAGAGTTGATAGATCTTTAAAGCACTGCAGAGAAGCACCATGGCTAGAGTAGGGCCAGACCATTGCAAGGAGAAACAAAGGTCATGGCAGTTAAGTAGGGGACTGATTTCCAATTGTTTCATACTAAAAATCAGCCATAAGCATAAGATTATATATCCTGTACCTGATCAAGAGCTTTAAATAATTCAAGAATAAAATATGAAATCTGAGAAGTCCTCTGGGTAAAAAGAGGTTTGAAGGAAAACTGACAGAACTTGTGAATTAAACAGGTAACCATGTAAAGAAAAAATAAATCAGCTATTTTGAACTTAGAACTAGCAGTCTTCAGTGAAAGTCACTTTATGCAAAACAAACCAAGTGCATATAACACCAAGTTCTTCCTTCTTGTGTCTTTCTCAAGATGGTGTTAAGCCTGGACTTGTCATCTCTGTCGTGGGACTTGCAAGACATTCACTTGATTTCAAACTTGTGAGAGATTTGTAGCTTGCTACTGAAGTAAGGGAGCCACAAAGACCAAGCAACGATGGCGTGTCTTCCTTCCCTGTTAAGAATAAGAATTAGGCTCATCATTTTTACAGCACAAGATCATCTGACCACAAAAAAAACAAGGGAATAGAAAATCTGTTTCACCTACACTATTATGAATTGCATCTTGCTGCTTCAACACACATATACTTTATACATACTATGAGGAAGTCATGTCATTTATGCCATACATGCCCTGTCCAGACACTCCTAACCATGCATCACGGGCTGGGGTGCAGTCAGTCTCCTACAGAGGGAGACACGGAGGCTCCACTCACTACACAGGGTAGTTAATTCAAGCACTGCTTTTACTCAAGTACATTTACGTATAAATGGAAGTGATGTTACTAATAAAACATCAGCACCAGAGATGTAAATTTTAATCCCTCTGAAAGGAGTAGAACTAACTGGAATCAGAATATCTTTATTTAAAAATAAGCACATACTGGTTTTTTAATCCTTAGAAGTACATTAGGCTCTGATCACTGGAAAAAGCCCTACAGTGCAAGAATGTCATCCAAACACACTTGACAGTTCACACCAAACATACATATAGGCTTAAGACTGCACTGGACCATTTTTCTATTTATCTTACGTCTTTCCTTCTCAGAATATCTATTCCAGTTATTTTGTGTCAAGTGTGCTAACAAATTACACTATAAAGAATTCTATCTACCAGCATCTCCCTATGTCATCTTCCTGGCTCACCTGAAGAATAGAAAGGTCACTTTACACTAAAGATTGAGATCAACTTAAAAAGGTCACAGGTACAAGATTTTATTGACAAGACAGTCTAGCAGAATTTTTGTTTTAAATCACATCTAGAAAACAGCATTTCTTTATTCTGTCTCCTGTTCCTGACATAAAAGTTTTTTCTCATGAGAAGGATGCAAGAAAAAACTGACTGTGCCCTGCCAAACAATTCATGATGAAAAAATATAAGTGAGGTGTAGTTCTCTTGCATCATTTGTGGTTCTTATTAGCAATTTCCAGTAGACTCTATGTCTCACCTCTACTGAGCTATTTTCAAGTGACTGCATAGCTATCCCTAAAGAAGGAACTAGATTAGCTCTTTTGAAGTCTACACATTTAGAAAAATCTTTATTGCCATAAAAACTACTCTTTAAAGAACATGTTCAATTTGAGAATGTGAAATACAGAGAGCAGTGTAACACAGTTCTTGATTCCAAACAGGGGGAAGCTAAAAAATCCGGCTGTGTAAGTTGTCTTAATATTAATGTGAAAGTTTACAACTTCTAATCTTTTATTTAAAACTGCCATGAGAGACTACAGATATTTTAACAGCAAGATCATATGTCATGTCTTACAAAATTATACTAAAGCGGAGGTACTGATGAATACCAGTAATTTAGAAGCAAGATGTTATGCTGCCTTTAAAGACATAGTCTTTAAATAAGAGCCTAAACTGTTATTATAAACTGTTTTTGCCACGCATCAATTTACAGAAGATAAAGCATAACTTTGAACAATTGGTATTGTAAAGAGACATTTGCAAGTAGATCTGCACAAGAGCTCTCTTCGTAATTGCCATGCTGATAGTATTTCACCTTCTCTAAGCTAACCTGAAACAATTTACATGTTAAGTTTCACATTTAAAAAATATTCTAAATTTTACACCCTTGATGTTTTTAATACAAGAAATTTTACAGTTATGAACTACTAAGGCTCTGTATTACCAAGTATATTTAAAGTTAACATTTTATGAGATCCAAAAAGGATTTTTTTACTGCAATTTTTGTTCTGTACCCAAAATCCTACTATTTCAGAAGTCTTGCAGCATTTTTCTGCTTTTCACAATTGCCCACAAGATGGAGCAGCTCAACTATGATGGTTGTACAGATTTTGGAAGGGGCTGAGGATGTACCTGTATTACATTTATATACTAGCATGGCTTGTATCACGTTCCTCTCTATTTCAACAGGAGCAATTCAGGCTGCATCTCTACAGATAAACATGGAATGCAAGATGTAAGAATGACTCTGGCAGTTGCAAATCCAGTGCCTGTAATGTTTCTCTCAAGAAACAAAAAAAGAAACTTTAAGAACTCAAAAGATTCAAGTTAGTTATATCAGAAAGATGACAGAAGATCCTCCTTGTAGCTGAGCTGTCTGGTTCTGTGATGGAGAGGGATGATATGAAATGTATCTGAAGCTTAGCTTTAAATACATCATGAAATCTTATAATTATTGGGGGTGCACTGGGCATCTTACCAAAAAACCAAATTTACTTCAAGTACAGTCATTAGGGAAACTGAGACAAGTTGCATAAAAATGAAAAAATATATTGTTCAATGTAGATTGAAAAATTCATCTCACAGAGAACAAAATCAAATGAAGCCATTATACTGGCTCTGTACCTTCATTTAACAAGTTCGTTCCATCCTGCTTCCCATCCTGTGAGTGACCTGGATCCAGAGAGGACTGAGAAAGACTAACTTCAGCTGAAAGTTGGTCCAGACTTTGAAAACTTTTCCTACAAAGCAAGTAGTATTTAAAAGTAGCACATTTAAAGATCTAACTAGGTCTCTTCAGTTCTCCTGAAAAAGTTAACAATGTTTTGTTTGTTTCCTAAAACACTGTTTTTCTCTAAAGCAAATATTCCACATGCAACCCCCCCCCTCAATCTCCCCCTTTTAAAAAAAAATAACTCAAAGGAAGGAAATTTTTATGGTAAGCATAAACTGGTTGTTTCTGCCAGCTGATCCTTGCACATTGTAACAGGTACTTTCAATAGGATCCATTTAAGAGTATGCTAAAGGTATAATTTTGTGTTTCCCTGTTCCTCTAAAGGCAAATCAAAAGAAATATTCAACTTACTCATCCCACTGTTGATTGTGCTTTCTATAGAGCAGAGTGTCCAAGGCAACAGCATTGACATCCAGAGCTCCTGGGGAAGGCCACTGATTGGTGAGGTGAGTAGTTAGTTCTTGTCTTGATCTCAAGTCATTATTCTTTAACACAGTCCTGTAAATATAAAAAGCAGTAAATCTCAGTCTATTAAATGCAATTCCTTAAGGTACAGAAAGAAAAATAGAACTCATAGTCCTGATCAAGTTGATGTTATACACAGAGTGACCAACAGAGAGCAGTTTTCTTAAAGCATCTTAAACTGTTCATTTTTCTTAGGGGAAGCTACTTAGAAACCTATTGAGAAGTTGAAATTCAAATAATTCTGCAAAAGTAATAAAAAAACTCCTGCATTCTAAAGATTCTGCCAGCATGACCATAATCAACAGTCCAAATATTTTGCAAACCAGCTATGGGAATGCGATGTCCTTCTTCCTCTCCCAATATTTTGCTTCGGTTTTTTGGTTTGTTTGGGGTTTTTTTTGTTTTGGTTTGTTTGGTTTGGTTTGTTTTGGGGTTTTTGTTTGTTTTTTTGTCGTTGTTTTTCAGTTTGAACACCCCTTCCTCCCCCCCAATACTTTCACAGAATGAGCTACAAACCATATTTATTAATTCTGTTATATGCTTCCAAGTAAAATATAACATATAGTTATCCTGTTTTCTACCACTTTGCAGTTTCTAGTGATTTATATTTTTAAATTACAGAAAATGTGTTAACTGGGAACCTTACATGTTCACATTAGTTTTGTCTCATATTCCCATGAAGCAGATCAATCTTCTAAAATTCTGGAAACAAAGGAAGCTAGTATGCCAATATTGGAAATCATCTGCCAGAAGTCATACAGAAATAAAGACAGTACATGGTTCTTCAGGGCCTAAGACAAGATGAGCTTTTTTCAGTAGTACAAGGCAACCTCTAATTACTCTTACACTGTTGTACAAAACACAAGTTCTAAACACACAGTATTTCTTGTTAACTCATAAATCCTCCCACCCATGAAATACCAGGCAATAGTAAAATGCTGCTTTACAACAAGTCGGACTATCTGTGGCCTGAAGTAAATAGTTGTTCAATACTGAATGTATGCAGGAGTTCAAAGCCATATGTCCTGTTGCTATCTGAAATGCCAAATTGCAGAGCAAATAAAATTCTTCATGGTACACATGCATTTAAGTGAATTCAAAAAACACTGTCAACAGTTTTAAAATGCACTTTTCATTCTGGTGGTATCTGAACTGTTTAAACAAGAACCTCAGCAAGGGCATGTAACACCACCCAAAGAGCCAAAATTTCCCTTGAAACAAGTTAAGACAGAGTTCAGGAAGGAATTTTTCATACCTGAGTTTGACAGAGGAGGCTGATGCACAGCAATTTTGCAAGAGAAGGTGGTGAAGCACCACAGTGAACAAAACTGTTTTCAAGAAACTTTTCTCAAGATAACAAAGTCCCCAGGCGTTCATGCAATTAACTTTTTTTCCCTGGCATCTCCCCCTCACCCTCCTGCCTAAGGGGTTTTATAGGAATAACCACTTTGATACTCTTTGGAATGCGACTTTGATACCTAAAGCTATCATTTAAAATACCTTGTATGGTAGTCACTTCCTCATGTAATTCTCCTAATCTCATGGGGTACATCGAGCATTAAACAGGTCTGTTAAAGCCTTGCTGATTTGAGGAAACTGAAATAGCCACTTAGCAAGTCCTTACAAGGTAAGCCACACCACATCACCTCCTTATTCAGAGAAGACTCCTTGTGTGCTTTCATGGAAGTTCCCTTATAGGACACAGTAACTATGCACACAGTAACTAAATGCAAATTCCTAAACGTGTAACACGTGTAAATTCCCATTTCAACAACCCCTGTGTGTTATCACCACACAACTCAGCAGCAGTGTAAATTGTTATTAAATAAATATGCTGAGCAAAGATGCCAAAACCACACAGCTACAGACGAGTTGCTAATAGTGGAATTTTGGCATTTTACGTAGGTTTCTCTACTGAAGCTTTTTCCACAAATCTTTATGCTATAATAACCTGAAGTTTCTGTGTGAACAAAGAAATTCTGAAACAAAGCCTAGCCAAACTGCTGCAGGGATTTTAGCATAATAACATTTAAAGACAGTTCCAGCATATAATACTCAAACCACACCACCATGCTCAGGAAGAAAAACAGGCATCAAGTAGGATACAGAAGTAACTACCACCTTTATATATTCTTTGAACATATAACATCAGTACCAGCACAGCAGTCAGTGAATATAAAACGGTAGTATAGACAATAGGAAGTTAAACAATATTCACAGCAGGTAGTGGTAGTGGTCACCTCTTTTTTTCAGCCTTGTAGATTATTCAGCTGTTTGTTCTCTTGCAGCCATTAGCCATTTTAAAAGTAACATGAGATTCCACTGCAGCAAAGACTTCCTAAAGGCAATGCTTGCAAACTGCAATTCTCTCAGGATAAACAAAGGCAGTTACACATATTAACCAGAGATATTTCAAGAGTTGAGGTATTAAACTGCACAGAATCATAGAATCATTTAGGTTGGAAAAAAACCTTAAAATCTTCAAGTCCAACTGTTAACCTAAAGCACTGCCAACCTCACCAGGTGTGTCCCTAAGCAGTACATCTATACAGCATACACCATCCTCAAACTCTTAATCACTATGAGGCAAAAATGATCTTGCTACAAATATACAAGAATGGGGGGGGGGGGGGGGGAATTGAGACAAAAGCATTTACTATACTACAGATATGACTTAAAAATGAAGGAAATATGATCAAGTTTTAATGAAAAAAGCACACAGACTCCAAAACACACTGTGAAAAAATGCTGCACAGGATTACTGAGTGCTGTCCTGTTTTTGGTCCGATGAGAAGAGCTCTTTCTAGATGTTAAGAGCACTCAAAGTAATTTATTTCATCCAAGGCAGATTACATTTTTCCAGTCACACTACTCTTGTTCCTCAGAATGCAAACAACTGGCCAAGCTAGCTGCAACACTGCTGGGTTTTAAGTAGGACTTTCCTTAATGATCACATGGAGAGCAATGAAGATGATGAGCTTTCCTCTATATGTTTACTGTCAGGCTGTTTAACCAAAAAGAAGATTACTATTAAAACTTATTCGCTGCTAGCATAGCAAAATAAGTTTGGCATATAAAAGTTTTCAGAGGAAAAAATCAGAGAACAGTCTTAAAAGAACAAAAATTTAAAATGAAGAATTGGTGCAATTGGCAAATAGAGAATTTGTGATATTTACAAGTTTCACAAAATACTCAAGCATAGAACATAAAATTAATATTTTCCATTATTTACACACACACAAAAAATTAAGTACTGAACTCCTTGGGCCTTGACTGGGAAATACTTAAAAAGTGTAACCAAAAGTTCACATAAAAATAATATATAAGCTTATCTATAAAATGCTGGTCTGTAGTAAAACATACTGAACTTGAATGGCTCCTGTACAAACAGGTTTTATTCTATTGCTCCTACTTGCAAGAATGAACTGTTGGGATGATACACCAACTGAAAAGCAGAATGAGCCAACACCTGTAGACCAAGACTTAAAGCCTATATTTTATGAAAAATACCACCTCATAACCTACAAGACTATCTTATATGGAAAAAATCCCTAATGCATCCTAAGAATAACACTGAAGATCACAAGTATGCAGTTGTATTTTAAAATAAAATCAATATTGTTCTATTGGTTTTATAGCTGTGATGATTTAAGGATGATGCAAAATAAGGTTTGTAGACAATATGTTAAGCCATTTAATACAGGAGTAAGAGAAAGGCACTTCCAAAAAGGGAAGAAAAAGAGTGAGTGAGTACTAGAGAAAGAAGTTAAAAAAAGAAAGAAATACAATCAAGTTTGCAAACAAGCAAGTAAGCATATATACAGTAAGCTGTTAATTCCTCTTCTTCAGACTGGAAACAGAAAATTTTAAAGCTAAAGAGAAGATAAAAACAATAGCTTCTAAATGTAATAATCTCAGGAAGCTAGTTGGTACATGGAGAATAAAATGGATATTAATAAGAGATTGTATTATTATTTTTTTAATGGAAGAAAGGCAGCATGTGAGATATGGCTGAGTATCCTTGACTAATTTGGTGAGGCTGCAGAATGCAGAAGGTTTTGTACAGAGTAGGAAGAATATGTAAGAATTAATTCTAAGAGCAGGGGGGTTAAACTGATTTGTGGTACATCACCTAATTTAAGCAAAAAAACTAAGAAATTGTTCTTGGTTGTGTGAAAGCCTGTGAATTTTTCTCTTCCATCTACTAACTGGTATCTTCTCTACCTACAATCATTTCCAGCTGTTTATAATCCTGCAGGCTAAAAGCAGCAGAAGCTTTTTTGTGATCTGCAGAAAGAGCACATTTGTTTTTCTCCCACTCGCGACATTTGTGCCCTGAGCAGTCCTCACCTCAACAAATGTTTTTTGTAAGATAAGTCCATATAGTGTTTAAAGTTCTGAAAAACATTACAAAAATCAAGAACCACTGAAAGGGTGGCAGGCAGAGAAAAAGCATTTGTAATTCCTTTGCAAGTAATTGCTGAAATGCTATTAGCATCCTGAAGAGTGGTGAGACAAACACAATGAAATGCTTTTTGGGATTTATTACAGGAGAGAGGCATCGGTGATGCTGGAGAAAAACATATTTTCAAAAAATTCCTTTAAAAATTATCAAATATCCTTTGTATTACTTCACAGCATAGATTTTTCCATAGTGCACATATATAAGAGAAGAATAATACATTCTCACAATGTTAGGCCAGGATACTCCACTTAAGTTATGACACTTAAATTGTGGTGGGGTTTTTTAGTGTCTAAAAAAAGCCTCCATACAAATTCAAAATACTACTGCAACTAATAACAGGAAAAGCAGCAAAAGAAATTAGAACATCATATTGATACTAGAATATATAACTAAAAGCTAACAAATATTTGGCTTACATAAGGAACTGCTTTTTAAATTAAGTTCCTCTCAGAAAACAAAAAAAGCATTCAATAAAAACATCCTGCTAATGAATTTCTGCTTCTTACAAAATAAAACTGATGATTCATTAGTCAAAACTAACACACACTCAAATTAGAAGTGTCTGCTT